CCAACAATGTCATCCGCCGGCGGGAAACGCCGAGCGGGCCGGGACCGCAACGGCCAGCGCCCCGAGCCCCGCTTAAGGTACACGCCGCGGCCACACCTCCGCGTACACATCCACCAGTACCGATACGACGCACTGCTCGACTCGGGGTCCGAAACATCATTCATTAACAACAGAACGGCTGCCCACGCACAACGATGGGGTCACGAGGTCCTACGTCACGAGGGGGAAGTGCAACTGGCAAACGGCGAAACCACGCACACCGCCGGTAGCGTCGCCCTGCCAGTCCGGATCGGAGCAAAAACATATCGACACCAGTTCACCATTCTACCGACGCTCGACAGCCCGATACTCATCGGCGTGGACCTTTGGTCACGCACCGGCATCCGCCTCAGTCCACCACGATACACCCCCGGGTCGAGCACCCCGCCAATACACGGGACCAGCGGGGAACTGGCCCCGCGTACCACAGCGGAAGAAACACAATTGAAAAAGTTTCTCGACCGAGAATTGGAAAAATTCGCGCATATCCAGGGGCCGACCGACCGCGTACAACACGAAATACGGCTCCGGAACGTGACGCCGATTAAACAGCGCTACCGACCCCGCAACCCCGCCATGCAAGCGGTCATCGATCGAGAAGTAGCGGAAATGGAAGCCGCCGGAGCAATCGAACCATCCAAGAGCGCCTGGAGCTCCCCCGTAGTACTTGTCAAGAAGAAAGACGGAAAGTATCGCTTCTGCATAGATTTCCGAAAAGTAAACGACGCCACGGAGAAGGACGCATATCCATTGCCACAAGTAGTCGCAACGCTCGACAAGCTACGGGGAGCCCGATATCTAACAACGTTGGATTTAAAAAACGGGTACTGGCAGATCCCGCTCGAACCCACCAGCCGACCGGTCACCGCCTTTACAATCCCGGGGCGAGGATTATACCAGTTTACGGTCATGCCATTCGGATTACACTCCGCGCCGGCCACCTTCCAACGATTACTAGACACGATCATCGGACCAGCCCTCGAGCCAAACGTCTTCGTATACTTGGACGACATCATCGTCATAAGCGAAACGTTCAAGGAACACATGAAATTGCTCGCCGAAGTTTTCCACCGACTACGGGAGGCAAACCTGCGCCTCAACCCGGAGAAGTGCCGGTTTTGCGTCGACCAATTAAAATATCTGGGGCACGTAGTGGATTGCAAAGGAATACGGACCGACCCCGACAAGGTCAGCGCTGTCGCCAACCGGCCCGAGCCGCAAACCGTCAAACAAGTCCGACATTTTCTGGGGATGGCGTCCTGGTACCGGCGGTTTATCGCGAATTTCTCGACCGTTGCCGCGCCACTCACTCAGCTCACAAAAAAAACGCACGCTGGGCATGGGGATCCGCGGAAGAAAACGCGTTCCGCGAGCTGAAACAGACGCTCATTTCGGCCCCCGTACTCGCCTGTCCGGATTTTACGCGCCGATTCGTCTTGCAGACCGACGCTAGCACTAGCGGCCTCGGGGCCGTCCTGACACAATACTTCGAGGAGGGGGAGCGCGTGATCGCGTATGCGAGCCGAACGCTCAACAGCGCCGAGCGGAATTATAGCGCCACCGAATTAGAATGAGTCGCGGTTGTATGGGGCATCCGACGCATGAAGGGCTACCTCGAGGGGTATCCCTTTACCGTATTGACCGATCATCAGTCACTAAAGTGGCTGCAGCGCCTGGAGGCACCCACCGGGAGACTCGCCCGGTGGCTGTTCGAGCTCCAGCAATACGACCTCGAGGTCAAATACCGAAAGGGCACGCTCAACCGCGTAGCCGACGCCCTGTCGCGACAACCCGAAATCTGCGACGCGACCACACGCCGGTGTCGGTGGTACTAGCACATCTTCGCGGAAGTCGAACGCGAGCCAGCCACCAGACCAGATTACCGCATCACGGAGGGGAAGCTATTCCGCCATATCCTGCATAGCCTGGATTTTAAAGAAAACGCCGCGGAAGAGCAATGGAAAGAGAGCGTACCAAGGGAACGCCGAACAACCGTGATGAAGAACTATCACGACGCACCAACCGCGGGCCACCTCGGAATCGCTAAGACAATCGCCCGAATCGCCGAGCACTACTATTGGCCGGGAATGTTCCGGGATATCCCCGCGTATGTACGCACGTGCGAAAAATGCCAAGCGCACAAAGCGGCTCAACAATAACCAGCCGGCAAGCTCCACGCCACCGACGTACAACGGCCCTGGGAACAGGTTACCACCGACCTCGTCGGACCGCTACCACGCTCACGCCAAGGCCATACATGGCTCTACGTGATGCAAGATCGGTTCTCGAAGTGGGTAGAATTGACACACCTTCGCCAAGCCACCGCCAAAGCAGTCACGAAGACCATCACCGAGAGGGTAATCCTCCGACACGGCCGACCAGAGAGCATCCTGTCGGATAACGGAACTCAATTCACGTCGAGAGACTTTGCCAAAAGATTGAAAGCCTTCAATATTCAGCACAAAACCGCACCGGCCTATGCACCACACTGCAACCCGGTGGAGAGGACGAACCGAACGATCAAGACGATGATCAGTGAATTCGTCGACAAAGACCACAGAGACTGGGACGAACACCTGCCCGCATTCCAATTCGCCTTCAATACCGCCGTGCACGACGCCACCGGCTACACCCCGGCGTATATTACACACGGGCGAGAGCTCGTGCCCCCACACCGCACCACACCAGCAACCAGGGGTACACCGCCAGACACCACCCGCGAGCGGCTAGACGACGCATATAAGATCGTCCGCATCAAATTGGCCAGAGCCTTCCAGCGGCAGGAGAGATATTACAATCTCAGGCGACGAGAATGGAGACCACACGTGGGAGAGTGGGTGTGGAAAAAAGACCACCCGCTGTCGAAGAAAGCCGACAATTTTAATGCGAAACTCGCGCCAAAATACATTGGCCCGCTCGAAGTTCGCCGAATCGTCTCGCCAGTGATCGTAGACCTGAGGAGCAAGCGGGGAAAGTGATACAAACATGTACACATCCAGGACCTCAAAGTCGCAAAAACAAAACACGACGGCGACAACAACAACACCGGAGACGAAGAGGATGATACCCCACCACCGGCGAGGAGGAATAAACAGCCGAAACCGAAAGTGAACGACACAGATATCAAAGATGTGCGATCACGAGAGCATCTTAGCCGCAATCGACGAGCTCCTGGACGACCCAGGCTTCCAGTATCAACCGCCAACGCCGAACACCAACCGAATCGGCAATGGAAAACCGCCGACGACCGACCGTCCGTCAACCGGTCCGACAACCCGACCGCCAAAGATCGACCGACAGAATCAGCTTAAGATGCAGCAGCTGATGCAGGCACCACCACCGCCGCCTGCACGCTCGCGCCGACCAGCGAGCAAACCAGCCCGCCAGACACCGCGGGAAACCGAGGGAGAGACCGGCGAAGGACAACCACCTCGCCTCCTGATGCCGACAGGCCCGTTACCGCCACCACCGATCCGGGTGCAAGTAGAACCCGGCATCATTTTCGACGTGCCCCACTTCGCGGTGCACGTCTCCAGAAAATACAAGATCCGGTCACCGCAAGGCCACTAAGTCATGAGATTCTCCAAGACGGGAGAATTGCGATACCGCCGCCGTCTCAATTAAACGCGAGCAAAGTACGCCGAACACCGCGTAACCGAGCGAATGCCTCAAATTCAGGCATAATTTATGGAGGGGGGTGATGTAACGATGCATCACTCCCTCAGTAATGCACCGTTACCCGGCCGCCGATCCGCCGGAAGTCCGCCGCCCGACAAACACCGGTCGGGCAAATGCGGAGGCGTCGAGCGCCCATTTTTAAATTATAACAGAAGCGCGTAAATATCTAACCGCCGTCAAACGCGTAAGCATCCCGAATCGACGACGCGCTCTGGTAACCGACCCGACCGTTACCGAGAATACCCGAGTCGCGCACGCCGGTTCGACAATGTTACCGTTAGCGCAATTAGGCGAATTACGCAGACGCGCACGCCGAAGAAGGAGAAATTAGTATAAATAGCGCGCGTTTTCAGTAATCGAGACCAGATCCTCCGATCCGCCAGCGCCTGTAAGACGCCTGAGCAATTCCGAGATCCTTAACCGCTCACCAGACAAAGAACCACGGGGTTGGGAGTACTCAGTCTCCGCCGGGAATTTACGGCATCTCTGAGAGCGATCCTTCTATCAGAACGAATTAAGAGGTACACGGGATCGGGCGTACTCGACCCCGCCGAGAGTTCTCGGCCCCTCGCTAGCTTTCCGTCCACCTTGTGCATCGGCAGCATTCTCGTGGCAAGGGAGTTCCCTACCACGGACGGGAGTTCTCGTCGGCCGACGCATCCCGAAATCCGCACCCGCGATCCCGATACGCGAATAAGATCCGACCGTTATACCACTCGACGGACCGACTGTTAGCCGCCATAATTAAGACCGACGCGCCATTATTACGGGAGCGCTAAGTCCCGCGCCGAGGGCCGACCCGCGCCCTACCACGTCACCGATCGACATCCGAAATCGATACACGTGCCGAAGGACCGTCCACCGACGCGGCCGCACAGGTCCACCCGACAGCTAACGGCTCCTGCCGGATTTACGCCGCGCGATTAATAATCGATATTCGACCGAACACCCGAAAGCGCGACCCGCGCTGCGCGCAATCGCGGTGCATTGCATGCACCCTCCGGCATTGCATACTCGCACACCGACAGTATACGTACTCGCACGCATACATTGCGTACTCGCACACATACATTATACGTACTCGCACATATACTTTATACGTGCTCCCACACATACATTATACGTACTCGCACATATACTTTATACGTGCTCCCACACATACATTATACGTACTCGCACATATACTTTATACGTGCTCCCACACATACATTATACGTACTCGCACATATACTTTATACGTGCTCCCACACATACATTATACGTACTCGCAATAACCTAAACATATTTATTATTTAATTTTAGATAACGACAAGGCAGCTTGGAAATTTGTCCAATCAATACATAATCAAGAAAACAGGCATCGCAACTCTGATGAGACAATTAATACTTTATATCGATCGGTTGATAATATTGATTAGTAAGTATAATGAAAAATTAGTAAGTATAATGAAAAATTTTTTTGTTTGGTCTACTTGCATGAAATATTCCAATTTTTGATTAATACTTCATCTTTTGATCAATTCCAATTAATATTTATCGGAGATAGTACGGTTGGACAAAGTTTATTGGTATTTTACGGATGGAAGATTTGTTGAAGTGAGATTATATTTATGTGTGTGCATGTTAACTCAAGTGGTTTAGGTTATCAAATCAATTGTCATTGATTTTTTTTTTAGTTATCAAATCCAGCAATTGGTTTCTTTGCAAATCAATTTTATCTATTTCATTCAAGATTCCACATTTTTTTTATTTGTAAATATTTTTATAATATAATATAATATAAATATTTCCTCTCTCTCTCTCTCTCTAGCACATCAGTGATAAATAAGGAACAATTACTCCCCAGCAATAAACCAACCTTTCGTCCACATGATCCCAATGAAATAGTAGATTCTTCTCTAAGGGAGATAAGTAGCAATATGACAGATGAAACAGTGCCAGCAGTAAAAGTCGCCCAATCAACCATAACTCCACGAATTGTGCATAAATCTAATGTTCCTGCTATCAATGAAATAAATTCAAACAAATCAACAAGGAAAAGGAGCTCGGTGTGGATGTATTTTGATAAAAAAGATGATCAACACGCCCTATGTACAATTTGCAATTTCAAAGTAAAACATTGTGGTGGAACGTCAAATTTGCAGGCACATTTGACTCGAAGTCATGGACCCCTGTGCTCAGGGATATTTAATAATAAAAGAATTATATCAGAATCTGAAAATGAAAAGGTTGCAACTCCTAATGATCCATCTCCAAAACGCAAGAAATTTTCATTAATGGTAAGCACATTAATTTTTAATCATAAAATTTTTAATGATAAAATTTAATATCTTTTTCTTTTCAATAGAACAAGTTTTCGCGCATTGATGAAGCTTTTCAGAAGGCAAATTCTTTCGCAGGTAAATACAATGTTTATTTAATCTAAAGAATATTATCTAATAATAAAAAACGTCATTCTCATTTATTTTTATCATTTTCAGAAGGAGGGTCGCATTCCGACAAGATCACTGCTGCGTTAATGTTCACGATAACAAAGGATAAGGAACCTCTAGCTATGGTCGAGAGAGAAGGCTTTAGGCATTTCATGAAAGTGATAGTTCCGCTGTATCGCATTCCTGATCGGAAAACGGTAACATGATTAATAGATCATCGCTACATGGAAGCTAAAGGAGCCTATAAGCTTTCATTGAAGAGAGCATTGTCGTATACCTTGACATGCGATAATTGGACGGACTGCACGTTCCAGACCCACTCGGCATGTAATATTGCTGAAATACTGTAATGTTCGGAAATGGTACAGAAATATTTCATTAATATTTCAATTGTAACTTTGCATCCGAAATATTTCGGAAATGTACCTGTATCATGTTGTTATAGCCCGAAAAGGCTATATACGAATTACTAGATATATATTATTTTAGAGATATATTATTTTATACGATAAGACATTGCTCAACGTGTAACGCGAATACAGATCACGTTACGAACGTTGACCGAGCGAAGCGCTGACAACGCGAGCCACGCGCGAAGCCCGAGCGACCGCGCAATCACTTCATTGCGAAAACGCGGAAATCAAGGCAAGCGGAATAAGGGCGTTGCGAAAATGCAACGTAGAGGTCCTACCTAAAAGCGAAATAAAAAAGGAATAAGGAAATTGCGAAAATGCAAGCAAAGAAGTCCTACTTAGAACTCCTTAGCTTG